TTGCATGTTTCCGTGCAGTGTCGATGGAGTTGGGTTGCAATCGATATGTGATGCCAAGCAACGATTCTGCTGGAAGCTTGCAAGTTGCCTCTGCAAATGGGCACATCAGTTTGCACCCTCTTGGACAGAATGTTCTGCTGGCGCAGCGCCTTTCCAACGCGGCCAACAGCAGTGGGCTCAGGGCTGGCGCTCGCCTCCTGCGACGAAACCTACAATACTCACTTCATGAAGGACAGGGCCTCCTCCGGTACCTTGTCTCCGTACTTGCTCTCCAAGGTGTCGGCCCGCGTCATGTCTGGGAACTTCAAACCCGCAAACCGCTGATTTTGAAAGAAGAGCTTCATTTGGTCTGTCGTGAGAGGGCCTGCATGCATTCGACGTAGTCCTGTACTCAGTGCTTTGCCCGGCAGGATAGGTTCAAGGACGTGGCTGTTGCCGCTGCTCGCCGCGCCACATGGATAGCCCAGAGCAGATGCCATGTTATAAAGGTTTGACTCCATCCACCGCAAAAAAGTCTTCGGTGGGCCCGCGACCTGGAATTCAGTCCCTAGAATGGTGCTGGCACCGTCGGCCAGAAAACCAAAGGAAAGTACCGGGTAAAGAAGAGCACCCACTATCGGGCTGCTGCAGCGCATCGACGCTGCACGGACGCACTGTTGACATCAGTTACTATTGCGACGCCGTGCAACTGATGTGACACCAAGTGGGTGCAAAGCTTTCAAGAAAAATTGTGAGCCTGTTTAGGTGCTGCCAGGAGGAAGGGCGCACCTAGAAATCGCTGGATTAAGTAAAGCTGGTCTATGTCGCTCTCCCCTGGGAACAAGGGCTGTCCATCTATGAGTTCGCCCATGATGCATCTGAAGACACACGCACACAGAGCATCCTGCTCAACACGATCAGAAAGATTTAGACATCTGGAGTTGTGTCCGATCATTGCATAAAAGCATTAAAATAAACACTGCAAAGAGTGGCCACGCAGGCAGTCGCAGCAGTTCAGGATTTGGTGAGCTCAATGACCCGCTATACCGTTGTTTACGGAAGGTCTGTTGTCGCGCGCGGATTGAAAGCAACGGCCTCCAATGGATGAGGAAAATGTAAGCTCAACACACAACGGTAATTGGTTCTTGCGCTGACGCTTCAAATTCCAAACTAAGCGGAATCTAGCAAAAGCAATGAAAACAGAATGCTGAAAATATTCGGCACTGTGTGCATTCCAGATATTAGTCGTGGGAGCGCTGCTTCACTGGGCCATTTCGCATACGTTAAGCACAGCACTAAAGGTGATTAGAATAAAATGGACGCAGAACTAGATGTAGGAGTCGGTTCATTGATTGGTTGATGGATGGGTACAGCGTCATATGACAGTTTGGCGGCCTCACCCAATAGCCCACTGATCGACTTCCTTGCCGTAGTGGGCGCTGCCCAGGAGGAGCTCCGGTGCTCGGTACCAGCGGGTGGAGACGTAATCCGTGATGGACGCGCCGCTGTTGGAGGGGAGCTGCCTGGCGAAGCCAAAATCGCACAACTTGAGATGCCCGAAATTATTCCCCGTGCCTCCTGGAGAGCCACAGGGAGGGTTGTTACCGCGCGAGCGTAAATCCCCATTGATTGCATTCTTTGTATGCGCAAAATCGATTCCCTCTCTGTTACTGGGAGTGGCACTGGAGCGTCGCCCGCGGCGTATGCGATGACGTTGCCACACTGTGTCGTCATCCGTGCGCCGCCTTAGCGGATTAACAAGCAGTCGCTTCCCTCCACAGATGCTTTTTATGCCAAATCCAACAGTAACTCGAATGTACTGGCAGCGATCCACGTCAAGCTGCATTTGCGAATCGGTGCTTGAGAGGGTGGCAATAAATTGGGCCGACTGCCAATTGTACCAACCTGGGTTTATCAGAAGGTTCTCCGGTTTAATGTCCCTGTGCACGATGTTCTTCGTGTGACACCAGTGCACAGCCTTGACGAGTTGATGTATGTACTGTCGAACCTGCGGAGCTGTCAGTGTCACATCGCATGTCGCTTACACGCCCGCTGGGCGCTTTGCTGTTCTTGCTCGATGACATCAGCGTGAGCGACGCAGCACCCACCTGCTCACATTGTAGACCATTCTGCTGCTCCTCCAGGATCTCCAAAAGATTCTTTTCCACGTACTCAAACACCAGATACTGTGCACATTCCCCAGGGGATGTCAGCAAGCCCCATGGCATGCGCAGTCTCCCCTGCAGTTCTATCCCTTGGAACAACCACGAGCGCAGCGCTCCACGCAGAGTATGTTCGAGTTTATAGCCAAGCAGTTTTCTGCTTTCTGATAAACATGCACTCGCAACATCGGCTCCAATTTTGCGAGTGTGGGCGTCCTCACCAGCTTCTGTTTCCTCCTAAACGCCTCCTTCAAGGTCACAATATTTTCGTGTTTCAAGCTCCTCAGCATCTTAACCTCTCGCAGAGTCGTCTTTCGTACAATCTCGTCCTCTGAACGCCGCAACAAACATGCCATCAGCTGCACTCTGGGTACGCTGCAATTCAGAAGTCCTACTAACAATGTCTATCCGAACACACGCGGCCGGGCAGCTCCAAATTCTAGCAAGATATGTGTGCCAAAGCTCCCTCGTGACGATGAAAGCGGCGAAAAGGCGAACTGCTTGGTCGCTCGGGAATCGCAACACAGGAAGAGCGAAAACAGGCACCAGTTGACCCCCGTGGGACATTCCCGGGGCTAGGCGAGCACGACACGGAGGCTGTCTCTACCCGTTTCACGCTGCCCGGTCCGCACGTCCGAAAACATAAACCACAGAGACGCCCCCCTTGCTGGGCGCGGCAGCTCACCGTCCCCCTCCTTGAACTTCTTCACGGCGACGACCTCGCCGCTCTCCTTGTTCCTGCACTTCAGAACCACACCATACGCGCCCTCTCCCACCACGCCCACCACCTCGTATTTCTGCATGCCTCTCGAGTGGGGCACCCGCTGACGGGTCAACCGCGACGGCCGGAAGCGGAGGGAGCAGCCCCGCTGGCTTTGCGCAAAATTTCCGGTTGACGAGGTGTTTTCCGGGTATTTATTCAAGAGCCCCGAGCCGGTGAGTGTGGTGTGTAGGTTGCGTCATTCAGAGGGGAGTTCACGGCCTAGTTTGGAGGCGGGAGTGGGGCGCTAGATAGTTGGCGTCGGGGCGAAGAGGCTGCCTTGTTCTCGAACAGCCAGGGCTGAGATGGATAGTCCAGATGCAGAGTGGCAGGGTGGATGGGTCGACTGATGCTAAGGGAACTGGACGGCGTCTTTCGGGAGGGATCGATGAGCGTGTGGCGGTGCTTTGAAGGGCGTTTTGTTGGCGTATTTCTGTACCGCAGATCATGGAAGATAGCGCGGGGGGTGTTGAATAGTGCGGGGGCCTTTAGGGTCCCCCCCCCCCTGCGTTACCAAGCATGGCTGGTATTGCACGGCACGGGGAGTACGCAAGACAGCGCGAGGAGGCACTATTCACTTCACGATCATGTAAATCATAACGCAAAAGAGTTTCCACACATTCTTACATCTTATTGCATGTGCTATAACCCCAATGTTATCAAGTCCACTCCAACCTAACATTGTCATGACATTCCTTCATCAATCAAACACCATGTCCTCAAGATTCACAATGCCCGGCTCCATACAACCATCACACAAACCAAGGTCATCGGGATCTCCAGGCTGTCTCCAGTGCAGTGCGGTACCCCAATAGCTGTTATTGGTTGGCGTTGTGATCGGCGCCTTATGTAATGTTATGTAATATGCTACATTGGCCAGACGCCGGTCCGCTTTGCCGATCAATCTGGCGACGCAGGTGGCGCAGCATAATGCAGCGGCCTGTGGCGTCCCGTCATTTTAGGGCGCCGGTTTTGGTTGCTGCCGTGAATGGTGCCTTGCGTAATGCACTAACTTGGTGGAGCACCAGTACGCTTTTCTACCGGTACGCTGGCCAGCGTGATAATGCGGTGCGTGCGTGTAGGTGTGTGTGTGTGGGTGTGGGTGGGGGGGGGGGGCTACTGAGTCAACGACCTGGTGCGGAACGCGGGGGGCAAGGAACATACAACGGGGGCACGCAAGACAGCGATCTACGGTACACGAATTAGAAAAGCTTCCAATTTCGTGAGGCTGCGTTGTGACCAACACAATAATAAACTTTGTGCTCGTTTGAACACGTGTTAGTCGGCCCTTTTTTCCTAGCGTTGTGGGTGCATGGATCGTTTCTCTCCAAGAACCATTCTGACAACATCGAATCCATTTTCCAATATCCAATTCAATGGGGGCCCAGGTGCAATGGTGGCAATCTTGATACAAACCTGTGCGAAGCTGCCAGTAAGTGTGGACCGTTGGGAATCCACAAATAAAATATCTGAATACACGTCGTGGGATTTTCCTGCACAAATATATCTGTTCGCCTTTATACATTAACAATCGTCGCGTCATACGTACCTGTACTTCAAGCATGCCAGCTCCCATATACCAAAAAAAAAAACTGGTCCCAGGAGTTTATTGCATGGAAAGAATGTGGCCTCATGTTCACTGCAAGTGACAACTTCGCCGTGAAAACTATCCACCGTTTTGCAATGGCCCAATAACGAGAGCAGGTCATGCAGAAAAGTGAACAGACCAGTTTCTGCAGCTGTTGCTGTTTTCCTGGTGCCCGAAGCCACAAACGCTGTGCGGCACGCTGATCTACGCCACGCAACATTGCAACTCGCTACGATAACGAGGGCAACCCTCAGAGGGCGTCTGCATACTGTTGCTTTTTAAGCCCTTCGCGCATAGTAACGCAACGCTTGGACTTTTTTTGCGGAGAGAACGGTGAAAGAAATAACGATCTTTTGGTAAAATTCTTGAGGAGCAGCGTAAAAATTAATAAAACTAACGCTCTGAAAAACAAATGCGGAGCAAAAAGCGCAACAAGGTTTTCTTATGGGGAAGGGTTTAAAAACCAGCAGCACACAGAAAAACCAAACGCCCAGCGGGCGGTCGCGTCCTTATGCTTCGCCAGCCCGCTCTGCGAGGGGGCGCAGCCGTGTTGGCGTCCTTGAGACGGATTCCCGCCACTTGTAAGTGCTGCGAAGAAAGCCGGCCGATGGAAGATCTCGTGTCAATCCACCCAGCGCCTGTTGCTCATTTATAGATTATTGCAGGCCCATACGCCGACGTCCTCCCTCCGCTGGTGGGCTGCACGACGACCTTTGTGCGATGGTGAGAAGTGGTGTGGATTCGTAAGCTGTCACGGTTTGTTCCGAGACGCCTGCCTGTGTGGACCGCCCTGCCAAGCCCGCTGATCTGCTGATTCTGCCATAGTCAATTGCACGCGGACAGAATAAGGACAGAATAAGGCCCTTGCACCTACAGGGCGATGAGCGGCACTTTGGCCTCAGTAGCGTTTGTTGCCCAAATGAAAATAGAAGCAATGTTCGCCGCCACGCTGCAGACTGATAAACAAATGATCCCCTTCGTAGGTAAAGAATCTTGTGGGACAGCCCCAACGTGTGGTATCCGCCCCTTCCCTGAGGCTTCAGCACATCATTCACCGAACTCGGTCAGCGCTGTTTGGCCCAGCGAACTCACTTCCACGACACTGGTCTGGAGTGCAGGCATTCAGGATATACCTATCAAGTACATTTGCCATGACTTGACTAAACGCTGCCCTTTCATCTCGTGGACATAAGTTACATCTTTCATTCGCTTTCTTTTGGTTCTATTTTTTGCCTGTGACCAGCTTCTTCATCATTTACAGGTGGGTGGCTTGGTGCGTAGTGAATGCACAAGGGAGTTTTGAGTATTCGAAAAAGACAATCCTTTGTAGATGCCTTTCACCGCCTGCAAGCTCCAAGGTTTCCATAATGTCTCATGAAGACAACAGCAGTGCAAGGAATGTAGCTGCTGTTTCACCTGTAAAGGCCGATCCAGGCTCTATCTGCCACCGCAGGTGTGCTTTCCCAACACAATTGCTGGTCTCCCAAAGAGTACAGGCATTGAAGCTGTGTGCCATGTTGTATTTCTGGCAGGGCGACAAAAAGAGCAGGAGGGTCCACCAAGAACAGCAAAGATTCCCATCCAAAATATCTTGGCGTTAAAATGTGGGGAGGCGAATGGGCCATTGCTGGAAACATTGTGGTGCGGCAGAGAGGGACGAAATTCCACCCTGGGAACAACATGGGCATGGTGGGTGAGGATAAGTTTGTTGTAACATCAAAACAAGCCATGTACTGGGCATCTGAGTAACTGTGTGTCAGAATCTTTTCCATTCTGTGGAAAATGATCTGAAATCTGCAAGTGCTGCAGAATGAGCACAGTGCAAAAGGGGATCATGCTTGAGGAGTGTGAACTTGAGCAGCCACATTGTGGCAGCAGGGACTTCTATACATGAAAAGCACACAACCAGACTGAATATTTTGCCTTCACAGGCCAAACAGGGGCTGTGCATCCTGAACGCGATGATGGGGATAAACAAAGCCTGGACATTTGTTTCATGTTTCAGGAATTCTCCAAATTCCATCTGAATCGAATTGCCAAATGGAACTTCCTTACCTTCCTCACTGAGTAGCACAAATTTGTTGCCAATGTAACAAACAGAACAATTGGTATATAGTCACGTCCAAACCCTTCACATATGTCAATCTGCATCCCATTTTCTTGTGCCAGGTACAAATATTCAGCAAGAGTGGCTGACATTGCTCACTAGTTGCAAGGGTGGCGACTTGTGATATGTTAAAGAACAAATGAAGCTGACACCGATATGTGCATCAGGTCGGTTGAGGCTGGCCCTTGTTGCTGCTATTGCCTGGCAGCACATTGGTGAACATGAAAGTGAGAAATGAGTAAAGTCATGAGGTCAGGTGCTATTGCTGGTACAGATCTGCTGTTTTTCTTTGGGAAGTTGGTGCATTCATCAGGAAGCAAGAACAGCATATGCTATTGTGCTGCCCGCCACTGATCTGCCAAGGGATAGCACGTGAAGGGGGAGTGTCTCAATGCAGTCTGGGAGCACAGATACGGTTCCTCTCCCACAACCATTTTCGAAGTAGCTTCAAGCCAAATTTGTTGTTGGTGCTTCTGCTCTTGTGTCACATTTAGTGCATAAGGGTACAACCACAATTTGCACCATTGGCACATGTGGAACACGTGCCATCCAGCCACTCCGCTGCTGGCATTGGCCAGTCCATTCACTTATACTCAAGCGGGCACCCCACGCCTACAGTCTTTCCAGGTCTTACCAATCCAAAGAATGACTGGGTGAGCGAAATAGGTTCTTGATGTTGTAACGCAAATGCATGAAGCCCCACGGTAACAGAACTGAGGCTCCAGCTTTGCAGCGTGCTGGCTGCTTCAGGGCACATGTGGCTGCAGAACCTTGGCCAAGTCTCTGAATGCCTTTTTTCTGAATGTGTTTGTGGGTTTAGGGAAAGGATCACACCTTGTTTGCACTGGTGGATGGCCAAGTGAGATTCAGGTGTGTGGCATGTTGCCGATGTGTAATGACTGTAATTCTGCAGCTCTTTACCTTGTCCGCAAACACTCTGTTGTGGTCATCGGACAATGCCTAATGGACCCAGGACCAGCGTAACTTGAATTGACAAATGCATTCAAAGACTGTATCGAAAATATAAGTAGCGCAAATGCCGCGCTTATGCTTTTTCACATCCACTGTTTCTGGAACAGGAATTGTGGGGGTGTACATCTCCATCATGTTGCGAGTGAATATGTGCATATATACGCATGCAATGTGACAGAACATTGCCCTTTCAACCTCATGGCGATGAGCACTTTGACAACCCTGGAATTATGTCCAGGGCGCTGAGACCAGATTCTCGATTTTGAACTTCAAACCAAGCTGTGTGGGATGTCTCTCTTATGCACCAGTCAATGACCAGTGAATGAAACCAGTCAAGGGTGTTGGCCTTTCTGTCAATTGCATGTTGCATACTATGTGCCAGGCAATGTAGCAACCCCTTTGCTGCCTTCTGCCACCTTGCTCCTGAACAAAGTAAAACCTACCTTCAGGAACATAGTGCAACTGACTGTCCATTTGGGTCGCAGTGAATAGCAATTTGGCTGGAAGGTGATGCACGGAAAGCGTGTATTTTGTTACTCTCTCAAATCCTCACCGCCTGATCAAAAATGCACAGTGGATGGAATATCCTGTGGATTGCTTGCGACAGGACTGGTGGCACCCAACTGCTCATTAGGAACAACCACACTGGAGAACCCTTCTCTTACGCATACCATTCAGTATTTTGTTACCAGGGACCATGTGGCTGCATGAAAACTTCAAGAGCCACATCTGAACTGTGGTGTGCAGGAGCGGGATGCCTACTTTGTAGCATGTTCCCTATCCTGCGTCCAAGAGGACCCATGAGCCCTCACACACTGAAATTTCCGACCGTTAGGTCACTAAGCCTGGGGTTCTGCCTGCAGCCATGATAAGGTCAAGGGCCGAAGCTTTGTGAACATCGACCCGGGGACCCCACCAGCAAAGTTGCATAAACTTAGTAAGAGTGCTGGACTGCAAGTGCGATAAGGCGAAGCTGTGCATCAGGGCGATAATGCCGCCAGCTATAAAAGCCAATGTACAGGGCAAGATGCAGCTGCTGTGGACCGCCTGCATTTGTTGAGAGTAGTCTGGTGCCTCAGCCATGTCGCAACTCTGTTGCTTGTCACCGACACAAGTTCAGCCATGAAACTTTGGGTGGTTGGCTGTGTAAGAACAGTTATCTGTCTTGGGTTTGATCGTTGTTGCCATGAGAGGGCAGAGGCCCAATGCTGCAGGGTGTTATGTATGCGTGGTACCAGCTGCCTGGTATGCCCACTTGTTGGAATCTCTTCTCCTGAATAGCCCCAACAGTGTCCAGGTAAGATGTTAAGGGTGTTGTGTGAATGGAGATAATGTGGACGTGTGATCTCAGGTTTGTTCAGCGCCCCTTCACCTGGATTTGTAGCTTGACTGAAAATCATGGTGCTCCTTGTCTAATGGACTGTACTGGTTGCATGTGATTGCTGGTGATGTGTGGCCATCCTAAGTGCATACATGTGCTGTCGAGTCAGTACTTGTCCTTCCTGTCAGTGCAGCATGCTCCTCAGCACAGGGAGCAGGGCAGCCAAAGATGTTACTAAAGAAAGATTCAAACAATCAATCACGTATTGGCAGTGGAGCATTAGTCAGACCCTGCCAATTCCCCTTTTGCTGCCTCCCTGTCATCAGGTAAATTATTCAACATTGTGTGCAACAAAACTGGTTTCCTGCCGTCACAGTACATCATGCAATTGTATTCTTGGGACAACAATAGCATGCAGAACCAAGTGTGACTCCACCAACGTCAAACCATATTGTATGCCAAGATGCCAAGATTTTAGGATTGATTTCTCTTCGCTACATACACTGAACATAATCCACAGGGACTTTATTGCTCATGCCAACTCACTGCACTTCATGGGACAATAGGGAATGGCGCTATGGGGCCATGAATAACCGATTCCGAACATCCTATCAGCTTGGTTTCCACGCCCATCATCGCCTACCAGGTGCACGGGCTGTGTTTTGTCATTTTGTGACAAATGTAATCCATGGATTTTGATGATGATGATGCCAAGATGCCAGCTGGCTTTCACACCTTCTGCGAGGGTCCCGTGGTCTGTCCTGCCCAAGAGACTGCAGCCACATGACATGCAGCAACCTGAACCTGACTTTGTGTGCCCTGACGTAACATTTGGAGGATGAGTGATGACTGGGAAGACAGTTATGAATTGTAGCGGTTGGAGCCAACTGCTTGATTCGACAACAACCTTGATGCTAAGGTTGACATACTATACGTGCTTCACGAGGCAGTGTGCAAGGACATGAATCATGTGCGGTCATGAAGCAAGTGGGCCGAGGTTATTTGCTGGAAAGCAAGGAATTCCAAAATAAACACAGTGTCCAAACTCTCAGGCGATCAACGTTGTCGTCTGGTGATTTCTTGAATGATGCTGGCTTTCTGTGCCTCATTTGTGCCTGGCACCGCGATTCACTTTTAAAAATGCATGGATTCTACAAGAGTGAACTCACAAGAACGACTGGACAAATACCGCGCCATAGGGGCCATCCGTTTCAGGTATGCACGTCTGGAAAAAGAATACCTAATCTCATAGCTTAGAGGGACTGAGCTCCATATGGCTCCACATGGAGCTCAACATGCATGCCAAGTGGCCTCACTGCTTTTTCCATTTGACAAAAGTTTTATTTCAGACTTGCCCGAGGTGCATGGCCATTTGTGGCTTTTCCTATACAGAGATAGAGTAACACCCTCGATATGTAAACAACCAAAAAGTGAGTCAATAGTCATGCACATAAAATCTGCCCGGGGTTGAATTTGCCGTAGTAGTCTCACTTGTACGCACCGCACAACCCTTGTGCATCTGAAAAAGTAGAGAAGAGGCCAACACCGCACAGCAACAAGCGCCAGCCATGCTGTGGGCCCAGCACTGCAACAATACCAACTCGCTGACGGAGGCAGCCGCTGTATCGGCGTATGGCAAACTAAGAGGTCACTATGTACAGTATGAGGCAGAGTGATTATGCCTGCAATACCTGGGTCTATGCAGTAAAGTAGGCATGGAGAAATGCTGTCATGTGGAGGTGCGGCGTGAAGATAGGTGTGCTAAATTTGCCTCCTCCCCGCTCCCTGGGACACCAGGAGCTACGGGAACAAACCCTTACGTGCAATTGGATTTGTCTCAACTGCCATGATCGACCATCCTAAATGCATGACTGGAAGGCCGTGCACCCGGTTCTCCTTCAACAAGCTATGAAACCAGAGGACTTATTGTCCAAGCTTGCAACTTCCGACAAGGCAGCAAATGCTCTGTGCGTTGCACTGCATTGACAGTTGTCCAATCGCACGAAACAAACCCTCTTCGCTGGAGGCATTTGATGGCTCGTGACTACGTTTTCAGCCCAGGCCGTACTATTCGCATTCACATCCAGTTGCTCCACGGACTGCAACCGAATTTGTGATCTCATTAGACAAAAGGACGGATCCCCAAGTGGACGCACATCCAGGTGTGCTAGGCGGCGATTTGCTCACGACATACAGTCGCTTGGCCCCCCTGTGAACCCATGGATAGCCCGTGCGCCCTTCCAGTCTCCGGCCCCGAAAAGCTCCCCAGCAAACTCAAAAGAGATTGACATCCTCAAGGTGGTGGGCAATTCCGGCAGCGATGGAAGTCACCGAATCAGCGACAGTGGTGGGATGTGCCGGTTGAGTGACGGCTCCGCTCCATCTTGAGTGATTTATCGACCTCCGAGTGGAGCATCGTTAAAGCCTTCCATCCCATAGATTGCGCATTTGGGGAAGTTATTGCCAGACCGGGCGTGTCGATCTGCACTTACCCGTGACGCCACTCCCGGGACGTTGTTGCAGGTGCAGCGGCAGCACGTTGTGCGGGAAAAGTTCCCACAACATCTTGCACGCAGTATACTCCCTGCATGGGGCCACCAGCAAAGCATCATCACTTGTCATCACTACTGGCATAGCCATCTTTTCCACGAAAACCATGTGGCATTATACGATTGTGTCCATCCTGTTAGTATCCTTTTCAACCCAGGCGAGGAGAGTAGGTGAGCAATTATGATGCTAACAAAGAGGCTGCAGATGTGCACATTGCGTTGCGCCAAACCAAGCCCTGCTTTCTTTGCAGCGTACCGTTTCCCCACAGCAGAAGCGCTTTTTTCTCAATTTGTGCATTTCCATCATATTCTCGAATGAAGGTCGTGAAGGCAAGCGCCCCAAAGAGTGCCGTTTTCTGCCACGGCTTGAATGCAAGAATCGGTTGATGGGGCAAATGGTGGCAGCGCGACAGGGTGAGGTGGAGTTGCTGTACATTGTGCTCAGTATATCATGAGACTCAAAGCTGACTGTGACCCCCGGTTTTCAAGTATTTTCCTCCACTCTATGTCTACCCCTTAGCAGTCGTCAACACCAATGCACACTGCAGCGAATGGAGAACGGTGCTGCACGACGCGCCACTGGTGTGTGTGGTTGAGTTGCATCATCGTTACAAGGATGAGAAAGGGCCATAAATTCTTCCATCATTGGGTGCTTCAAGAGTTCCGAACTATGTCGCACTTCTATTTGAAGGCGCCGGGGGCCCTATCAGTGAGTTTCGGGACAAAGCAGGAAGATTAAAACATAATAGTGACAAAACTGGCCGCATTCATTGCAAGCCTTGTGGACTTGCATAATATCATAACTCCTAATTGGGAGCGTTGTATTAGCACAAAAATGTGGACCGACCCTCAAGAGGGTCCTCAGAAATGCGCTTTTTAAAATACAAAGCGAAATCCTATCCTATGAAGTGAGTTTCTCCCGTTGGATCACCATTTCCCAAATACCCGTTTCAGTGAGTTCCACACATAAGCCCGAATCAGTGGTTGCCTCGTTAATTGTTCACGTGAAATTACTTGACACAGGGATGTAAAATGTAGTGGGACAATGCCGGGGCAACTAGATTTCAGTGGAATGGTGTGGTCGTCCTTTCGTATCTCCCAATAATATTTCCAAGGCCCCTTATCCGAGTCTTATGGAATGGGAGGTTGCTTGATTTTAGCAAAGCTGTTGAGGCGTTGCCTCTAGGAAGCACGTTTGGATCCTCATTCATCCCCGCGCATTTGGTTGTGTTCACTGGCATCGGCACTGTGGTGATCTGCAGAGGACATGTGCATCTAAAAACATCAGTTGAAGAAGCGGGCAGTCGCCTAAGTGAGCCTGAAAAAATGAACCGCAAGGTATTTGAGGCAGCAAACAACTTACCTCCACTAGGTCGCAAGCTCTGTTCACTGCATAGCAGCGCACCCGCAACAAAGCAAAATGAGGTAGCCGCCAACAATGGTGACTTTGCCCTGACAGTACGTATGACGACGGGGATTTCAAGTTTGAGGACAATAGCAGGGGAAAGAGCTTTTTATTTCTGCATGAGTCCGGACAGAATGTTTAGGTGTATTGGGATTATTTCGCACGAAATAACTGCGTCAGTGCACGTGCACTCGTCCATGTCAGAAAGGCCGAAAGGTAGGATGGAGGATATGAGGGATACTGTGCGCCCTGGGCAATATGCCTTGCACGATGCGAGAGTTGCAACTCAGAGACATAAAAGTGGCAAGTAGAGCATCACTGTGCTCAGCGCATCATCGAACATGCGTGCACCTCGCCTGCCGCCACACGCGTTTTGTGCGCAAGTCGTTTTCTGTCTTCCATTGCTCCCCTAATCGTAGGGAGAACGGCTGTTTCATGGAGTACCGCACGGCATTTCCCCGTCCCTTCCTCCGTTGGCGGTGATCATCCTTGCTGCCCCGGCCTCGAGCCGTTCATTGCCATCTCACCAACTGTAGCGCGTCGTCTGTCCACAGGTCGATGGCGATCCATGCATTTGTGAATGGCGACAGAACATCGTGTGTTTATTCACAAGCGAATACACAAGGTAGCAGGACTGCACCACAGCCTTGACTCAGGCGTGTTCTCACCCTGAATTGTAATATTGCACCAACATTCACATCGGCACTATAAGAGGAACTACTGTCTCACATAGTAAATGATTGCGGGCCTCTCCTAAACAGTCCACAGTCCTTCACCAACTGAGCTACACAATGGGTATGCAATCTGCACCAAAAACAAAAGCATATCATCTCCAAACCAATTCCGATTCCCCAGAAAGTTTCAACCCCCGCGCAAATCGCCCTAGGCAGATGCATGCCTAGCACAAAGTCCAGCCTTTTCCTTAGAGCATTTTCATCTGTCGGTTCTATTCAATAGATTGCACCGGTGGAGCTATCCAGAAACGGCTCTCATTGGCTGCGGTCACCTCACAGCCGCTTTTATGGCATCACAATCACTGTGACGTCATCATTTTGTGTGGCAATGGCATCGCAGTTGGCATCGCCAACATGCCGTTTTCTACCAGTGGGTGCCACCTTACTAAAGCAGCATTTGCCGAATAGCACCGGTGCTATCGCTCCCATGCGCCCATCCTCAATGGTGGGTGCCATTCCTACGCCGAATAGCATCGCGGCAGCAGTACAATGTTCTGTGCGAATAGCGACGGGTGCTATTCTGGGGTGCTATTTGGCCTCGAGCGGTGCTGTTATGGCTCAGAATCGCACCGCTCGGCACCGAATTGTATCGGCGGTGATGTTGGGGTGCTATTGCTCCCCAATCGTTAATGACGTTTTTTTGACGTTCGGCGCCATTCGAATAGCCGAATATCGAACCGCCGGGGAAACAGCACCGAGCAATACAGATGCTCTTTAGGGGAAATTTTCCGTTGCAAGAGTCCAATACAAGCGACCTAGGAAAGCAGAAATAGCTCCGATACATATCATGTCAATCATCAGTTCAGTGTTGGTAGTATAACGGCTGAAATCAAATCAATCCATCAATTCAAGTCTAATCATACGCATACGATTACGGGTAACTCTTCCACGATCGTACACGCAGGGGTTGCTGCTCCGCAACCGCGGCCACTGCTATTGGTATCACTTGCAACCATTGGTGTTTGACGCAGACAGCGGGCAGCTTGCGTGGTGCTTTTTGGGAACCCCCGGCAGGCAGGCAGGCAGCGCAGTGCAGTGCGCCGCCATGCAATGCACTGCAATGCCGCCCAACCATGCGGCACAGGACTGCCTGTGGGTCGGCTCGACCCAGGCGGCATTGGCGATGGGCATTGCTGTGCTTGATGCCAGGCGGCCGCCACGGATGCTGCGGATTGCTGGCCCCCACAAAGTAATGGCCGCCAAAAGTCGCAAACTGCGCTGCGCAACTGTGCGTCTTGGGGGGGTGCACACGTTGCTTTCCTCGGAGTGGCGGGGCTTGGCTTGGCGCTCGAAGGGAAGACGAACGGACGTTGTGTGGATGCCGGCCGTCGCCGCGCGCAGGGTCCCTAAGGCCTGGTCGCGTGACGCAGGGCGCAGGCGGAAAGTGGGCCGGAAGTGGCGTACGGCGGGATACGCGACATCGTACCTCCATGGGCATACGGTGGCGCCGGCGCGCTCTTGGAATGGATGCCGCGCCCGCCACCCACGGGCCCCGTCGTGGCCTGCGGGCGTTTGGCAGCCACGCTTCCCCGGGGGAGTCCGCGCCGTGGAGCAACCGCGCTGGCACCTTCGAGGCGGGCCGCCGCCGCCAAGTGTGCTGCGAGCATGGGCGCCCCGGGGACGCGAGGTTGTGGCGCGCCCGGCGGGCCAACGCCGCTTGTTTGGGGGGATGCCCCGGGGACTGCGGCTGGCCTGGGCGTTCCCCCGGCGCTGGCGAGCTTTTGTGTGAGGGAGGTGAGGAGCGCTGCGCGGGGGCTCGGCGTCCCACGGCCCTGAGAAGGTGTCCCGTTGTGGATGGTGCCGCCAAGCTGAGGCATCGGCATCGCCGGGATCTGCGCGCCCCTTGCACCCGTCCACTGGGCGGGCTTGAGCCTGCGCCCCCGCCGGGCACTTTACGCCTCGGCGGCATCTTCTGTCTGCGAACATGGAGGCATGCGGGGGCCAGCCCTGCAAGGCAGGAACAGACGGATAAGCGTGTTTCGCGGGCGGCGGCAGGCTCCAGGCGGGCCGTGGCGGCTCTAGGGCCGAGCTCATGCGGCGCTCGGTCTGCCCGGCGTGCTCCCACCCTGGCTTCCTAGCTTTGCCAAGTGCGAACGACCTGCCAAACGAGCTCTGGCAAGCGAACCAAGTGAAGCACGCGCTGCAGGAGGAGTTGATTTGTTGACGAGGACGGCTGGCCCCTGCCACTGCTGCTGACCAACAACCGTTTGGCTGCGCGAAAGGGCGCGCCTGCGCATCCAGCCTCCAACAACGGGAGTGTTCTTCCTCCCCCTCCGCTCCCAGGGGAGTGTCGTGTCACGTTTTGTTGGCCCCGCGCTCTTGCCCCGCAACCCTGTGCACAAGTGGCGCAACAGAACGGCACAGCCCCTGTCTGTGGCGCTGCAAGTGGACCTGTCCGTTGGTGGGAGCAGTGGATGGGTTGCAGTTGCACAGTGCCTGTCCAATTGCCTTGTGTGGTGGTGCGCTTTTGGCCTAGCAACTGGCTACATGACACTGACTGCGGAAGTGACCGCCTGTGGTTGGGTGCCTGTGGCAGTACATGCTGGCAAACCTCAACGAGCGCTGGCGGGATAGCCGGAACTCGGATGCCGCACCCTGAAGCCCCTGCCAGGTGAGTGCGCACAAGTATTGATCTCGTTGCTACTGCCTGTAACTTGTGGTGCCCAGTCCGCTAGTGGCTGTGTGGGCGCTGTTGAGCATCGTGTTCAGAGCGTCGCATGCAAGCACGCGCAGGCCGGCAACGCATGGGCTTCCAGTTCGGGGGCCCTGTGCGGCGGGAGGTAATGCTGGGCCGGGGCCAGCTCCAATGAGAGCGTGTGGTAACTTGTTTGATGGAAAGCAGACTGCGTTTCTCTCTGCCAACGGCCGCGGTCAAGCGCCAGCGGGTGGCGAGGGTGTAGTGGAACGATCGTGGAGTCGCTGGCGGCCAGTAGCTCTTCTCTGGAAACGCCCACCCGCCAAGAGCAGGCAGCTCCTCCGTGCGCATGCGCTGCAAAGTGGGACAGTGGCGCGGGAGCAGCAATGTTTGCCAGGGCCCCGAACAGGCCATGGGCGTGGTTGCGATGCGCGAGCGATGATGGCATGATACACAGTGCAAGGGCCCTCAGGAGTGCGTGTTTAAAAACACGGAGGGCAGCCCCATCCCACAACAGAAAAGGTGTCCCCAGCGTCCCAGTGGTGTCCCAAGCCCTGCCTCAAAAGCATTCCACACGAGCGCCCGGCGCAGCAGGGTGCTGCTGCACTTCATCCCGGCCGTGTGCAGCCGCAGAACCGAGTCAGGTGGTCACCCTGTCGCCACATTGAGCCCTCCCTGTGAGTGCCCAGGCACACGCGCTGCAGCGAACCTCCAGGGCTCCCCGGCGGGCTCGCGTGCCCAGCCGGGGTCGCTGGCAGCTGCGCGGCCGGGCGCTCGAGCTAATGGGCTTCGAGGGGCCCACAGGCCGGTCTGCAGGGCTGCGAGTGCAGCTGATCCGGCAGTGGGCAGTGTGGAAGTGGTGAAGGTGTCGAGCAGTTCGAGGCCTTGAGGTGCGCTCTGCGCCTGTGCCTGTCCACACCATGCGGCGGTGGAGGCTGCCTCAGCTGCCATGTCCGCCCTTCTGGCAGCCATATTCAATGGCATCGCCGGCAGCCGCGCTTCAGCCGGGCTTGAGAGGCCATGTGCAGCCACGGAACCGAGACAAGTGGTCACCCCGACGCCACAGTTAGCCCTCCCTGTGAGTGCCCAGGCACACGCGCTGCAGCGAACCTCCAGGGCTCCCCGGCGGGCTCGCGTGCCCAGCCGGGGTCGCTGGCAGCTGCGCGGCTGAGCACTCGAGCTAACGGGCTTCGAGGGGCCCACAGGCCGGTCTGCAGGGCTGCGGCGAATCAGGCGGCCGTCATGGCGTAGGCGGCGTCGAACTGCGTGATGAAGGTGATGAGAAGTGTGAGGGCTTGGGGGGCGCGGTGCGGCTGCCTCTCTCCAAACCATGCGGCAACGGAGGCCACTTCAGCCTCCACATCCGCCCTTCTGGCTGCCAGGTCGCCCCGCGCTCCCTCCGTGCTGGCCAGGAAGCCGTGCAGCCGCGCCCCAAATGCGTCCTCCCCCCCCCCGGGCTGCGCTTGTGCCCGCCGCGCCCGGCCATCCCCCCCCCTCCTGGCCCCCCACCCAGGCCCTCCCACAGATGGCCGCGTACTCGGCCATGGCCTTCTTCAGGCCGACCGCGGCGTCCTCCTCCAGCTCTTGGAGGCCTCCGGAGAGGAGAGGGGCGGCCGCGGGGAGGCTGGGCGTCTGGCCACCCAAGAAGCCCCCTGCCCCTTGGTGGGCTGCCCCTGGCAGGCCCCTCACCACGCGTGCCAGGAAGTCCAAGAGTGTCCTGGCCTGGGTGCTGGCCTGGGGGGCGCCGGCGAGGGGCCCGCGTGCTGGCTGGGCAGGCGGGGAGGACGACGGCGCCGAGCTGCCTGTGACCTTGAAGCTTGTGAAGGCAGCCAGCGACTCCAGCGTGATGGCCCTGGCGCTGCCCTTGGGAGATCCATCGTTGACTGCATTGCCCACCTGGTTGGCAAAAGGCGAGCGTCCCGGGTCAGAGATGGCTGTGCGATTTGTAAGCGGACCTGCAAGTTGGTGTGTGAGCTGATTTGTGACCAAACTGACTTGTGTGCAAACAGAGTGCGGACACGTGGGCTGCCGTGAATGTGTGGCTGTATCCGCGCGTCGTCCGACTCATGTGTGCTGCGCTTGGGAAGGCTAGAATATTCTTGACTCGCAACATTGCCCGCGCTGCAAGATCGCTTTCCAGCAGTTCGCGCAAGCGCATCTGGCGGAGCAGCCTCACAGAATGCTTCACTTGGCGCGGGAAGCAAGTTGGCGTGTTGTTGATGCAAGCAATAGCTCGCCGGCAATGCTTGAAGCACAGCCACGCGTGCGTCTAGTTTCGTTAGAGACACGAATCGTGCGTGCCAATGTCCACGTCGTCGGCAGCGGAGACCGCGGTGCTCGGTCAATCATGGCGACGGCAAGCCCGCCCGTGGGTCCTTGTGTGGTGGGCACTTGTTGGATTTCGCTCAGTCGTGCGATGCATTGGGAAGCTAGGTTGCTCAAGAGTTGCCAGCGGCCATGGGGCGCTGCGTGCAGTGCATCCCCGAAAAGAGACTACACAGATGAACAGGAGCCAACGAAGAGCTGAATTAATTAGTTAGTAGAATGGGTGGAGAAAGCAGGCATGGGGGCAGCTGCGCAGCCAAGCACAGGCGGGGCTAGAAAGTGTGGCTGCTGTGCCCCCGTCCAGGGTATCGCCTTGGATGAAATGGCGGCCGCGGTGTCCATGGGCGGGCAGGGGGCATGGCAGGTCTGTGAGCGGGTGGTGTTGCGCGAAAGGGGCACTCACGGTCAGGGCGCATGAGAGGACGCTCTGGAGGCGGGAGCTCCGACGAAGCTCCTGGCAGGCGGCCTGGACGGTGTCCAGCGCCTGCACGCTCTCGTTGCGGAGCTCCTCCCATTTCATGATGAACAGCGCCACGCGGCACTTGGCCTTCAACCTGGGCACTTGGTTCATCTGCAGCAGCACTCGCTCGGCCGCCGTCAGATCCTGCGGCGCGCCCCCAAAGTCCTTGAAGTCTTTTCTTTCCCCCTTCTTCGGTGCTATCTGCATCGCAGCGCGGCTCAGCGCTCAAATCGGAGGCCAAGCTAGTGGCCTTTGAGTGCATCGCGCCGGGTTGTTTCCCCAATATGTCCACCCTCCCAGGCAATGGCACCAACATCGACACTCCAGCCATGCCTCCGCGCACGCAGGAAAATGTTTATCAGCTGTCATCAATGGCAGGCGACCTGCGGTGATGAGCCTCCATGCGCATTCTATGTGAGTGTTCAAGTGGGCGTTGGTGGGCAAATTCAGTAGGCATGTCAGCGAGTGTAGTAGTAACGTATTTTGGCATGTGCGTCAGTGAATATGTGCCCGTGGTGAATATGTTGTGCGTTGCAGCGCCTTGCAGCCCAGGGCACGGCGGTGAGGTGCGGCTGCGTTTCGCCGCCACCAAGGCAGAGGGCGGCGTGGCATCACTCGTGGAAGCTCGGACTGTGTTTGGAGAGCGGCTAGTGGAAGCCCTGCCCTCCAGTTCACCTGTCGAATGAGGCCCATTTCCTCCCACGTTAGCCCCTGGAAGCTGAGAACGGCGTGCATCATGCCCCCCACGCCCCCGGGGAAGGCTTTGAAGCGCGTCATCATGATGGACACGTTGTTGGCCCGCCTGATGTCAATCATAGTTGGGCGGCCCTCGGGGCCGCCAGCCACGGGGGCGGGCTTGGACTTGGAGGAGGACGCCCCAGCCCAGGCCGGGTTCCTGAAGAGGGACTCCAACATCTTGGCCATCTGGGGCACGAGGGCGGGGGCTGCGGGGAGGCTGCACCACACGGTGCCCGTGCGCCGGCTGAGCTTGCTCCAGTGGAACGTCCGAAGTTTGCGGACCTCAGCATCCTGCGGCACGTCATTGGTGGGGCGTCAACGGGTGCCGTGCGGGCGAGTGTGCGGGACTGGCGAGCCTCGCTCTGGTCGCGTGCAGGGTGCAGATTCGGGAGCCCAAATGAGCGCGATGGCGCACAAAAGGAGGGGCCATGAATCCACGCGCGGTGCCTCTTGCATGCAGCCGAGCGTCCCCAAACTGGGAGCCTGTCATGCGCTGTGGGGCTGGGTGTGCTTTTTCAACATAATGTGGAGCCTGGCTGTCCACGGCGCTGCCCATGGTCGTAATGCCAGCGCGCGCCGCGTGAACGCCCAATGGTGACTCGACCTGGCAATGCAGGCCGGACTTCCGAGCGATGGTTTGTGTGATGTAAGCTGTCAGAACATGCCGCTGTGGTGGTGATTGTGTCCAAATGGCAGCGAAAGCCGTGCCCTGCGTTCAGCTGCCCTGATTGTCGTGGTGGGTAATCGAAAGCTGCGCCCCTGGTCCGTTGCACCATGTATGAGGCAAATCCCGTGCACAATTGAGGCTGCGTGCTCGCGGCGCTGGCATCCAAATCGGCTGGCTGGCTGGCTGGCTGGCCCACCTCGCCTGGCTTCTCGGTTTTGGGGGGCGGTGGTGGCGGTGCGGGTGGTGCCGCGGGCGGTCCCCTGACGACGGCCTTCGCCCGTTGCTCTCCCTCCGCCTCCGACGTCGTGCCTGCGCTGCAGGGGGCCTCTTGCGCCTCTGGCGCCGCTGTCTCCTCGGACACCGCGTCCGCGGGAGGAGAGGCATCTACAACAAAGGCAAGGCGCGCCGCACTTGGAATCTGAGTGACGGCACAGACCTGTTGCGGCGGTCGGTGAGGTTGGTGTGTCGGGGCGCTGGAGTGCGGCGGGAGTTTTTTGACCATCTGACGCGTTGGGCAGCTCCCCTAGAGCGCACAGTCCGTCCGGGGACGTGGCAACGCAGCCACAGAAGAGCGGAACGGCGGCGGCCGTCGGCAAATCAGCAGCTACGCGTGTGATCCTGCCGACTCTCCCCTGGCAGCGTGTACGACTGCGGGCGTCTCCAAGCTTGAACGAGGACGAACGCTTTCTCATTCCGACAGATTGTTCCCGCCCAGTATTTGAGCTTGCACTTCGGAATATTTCGATTTTTTTTCGACCCACTTCTCAACTCGGACAGACTTTGGGCAGCGGCATTTTGGCAGGGATGCCAGAGCGGCGGGAAAATGGGCACAGAATTAGGCTGACGTTCGGGGGCGCACCCTGCTGGCCTCCCCGTGCCCTCCTCCGCCGACCGAGGGCCCACCGCGCGGCGGAGCCCCCAACCACGGCCAGCAGGCCGAGTGCAATCCACAGGGGGTCGCCCCCCCGCGCCTGTGGCGCCTCCCACTCTCGCCGTCGCCCATGCCTGCCCGCAGAGTAGAAAACAATTCAATAATTCTGGAAATGCGCCATGGGACAGTTGGCCCTGACGCCTGCGGCGGGATTGAGCCTCGCGCCCAGACGTCCGGGCTGGTGGGAGCGGCCGGAAGGGCGGCTGCGCCGACGTGCTGGAGGCCCCGGGAGAGCAATTCCCGGGAGTGGGCGGCCCCCCAAAAGCCGTCGGGAAATTCCTCCTCCTGGGAGGAGGGGGAGAGCGCCAGGGGCGACGGCCAGCGGCAACCGGCGCCGGCGCCCGAACTCGGCCACAAAAACGCGCGTGAGGCGACCAAAAATTTTTGAGAGCGCCGGCCGCGTCTCCCCTACCGCCGCTGGGGCGCTCTTCGCCGCGGGCGTCCTCCTGCTCAGCTGCCGCTACAGAAACGCGTGCCTCTCCTCCGCAGCCGGCTGGCAGGCAGGCGCCGAATGCCGCCACTCCTCGCTCCGTCGCACGAGTGTGGATTCCTGGTCGTCGCCCCGAGGATGGCGAAGACGAGAGACGAGCGGCGGGCGGACGGAAGTGGGCGGGAGCTGGGCGCTGTGCGGAATGACGTCTCCCGCCACTGGGGCGGCGCTTATGAATATGCTTGCTTTTTTAATCCAAACCCACCCCTCCCCACGCCGCCGGTTTGGGGCTTCATTGTGAGCATTTGTGACGGGCCCAATTGCGCGCACGCCGTTGTGCCACAGCGGATGAACGTGGGCGCTGGAGGCGCCGCCCAGAGCCCCGTTGGGGTTGTCCACTGGCCGTCAGCGGCGGCTCACCGGCATGGTGCACGAAAGACCCGCCCACAGTGCCACCAGTGGGCGGTGCGCAGGAGCACAACTTTGTAGCTATGTACTTAGTCCATGCAGCGCAAGGAGCCGCGGCGGCAAATCAATACGCCGCTGATGCCACAACTTGTCGGAACTTGTGGTCCGAGAGACCTCTTTCCAGAGGCTGCTGCTGAAATTCCACCCAGCAATGGGGCGTCCGGAAAAATGGCCATTTCGTCAAGTTGGCTCGCACCAGCGGCGCATTCAAGCCTTGAAATGCTTCTCGGAAGGTGTCTGAAGGGCGTCTGCGCCCTCCTGAAACGCGGTGAGTGCTGTCCTTGGGCGCGGAAGGCGTGGCGTTGGAGGAGGTCTAGTAGAAGCCATGCTAAAGTAGGCAGAAGTGAAGCAATACTGCCCGGAGCTTGTCCAGGTCAGAGTGCGTGTGCCCGCCGTGTGTCACGAAGTGTGTGTCACGAAGCGGAGTGCGTTCCTCACTGTCCTGTCGCAAATTGTGCTGGCCTGGAAACGAGGAGCGGGCCTGCGTGCCGGCGCCGCATTTTGGACGTTTGACAGCTGTAGGGGCATGAGGAGCTCCTGAATGAGCGTGCTGGGCGGTCGCTTTGCGTAGGTAGATGAGTTGCATTGCTGGCATGCCGCCCATTTTGCGTTGATTTGGAGTGTGCTGTAGACTGCGGGCACGCCCCCCGGTTGTCCGCCTCGGACGCGGTGGAGAGCCCACCACGGACACTCGCTTCGCCGCAGTGCTCCACAGCCCGCGCACCTCCCGCCCAGGCAGAGCCAGCCGGGAGTGAATGGTCCGTCGATCGGAGGTGAGTCCCCGCTCCCATCAGTGTTGCCCCTTGGATGCTGCCGTTTCGGGCCGGTGCCCACCTGTGTACAAGGCCGCGTTGTGTGTGGCCACAACCCTGCCCTCGCACCGAGCCTCCCGTGGCGTGAACATGCAGCGATCCAGTGCCATTTGGTGTGAGCGCGGCCTTCCAGAGGGCGCTGCGAGCGCATTCCCCCTGCCATGCCCGGTGTTTGGCGCAGGCAGCGGGCAGCACGCGTGGTGTTTCTTGGGAACCCCGGCAGGCAGGCAGGCAGGCAGCGCAGTGCACCGCCGTGCAATGCGCTGCAATGCACTGCAATGCCGCCAAGCCATGCGGCACAGGACTACCCGTGGGTCGGCTCGCCCCACGCGGCGTTGGCGATGGGCATTGCTGTGCTTGACGCCAGGCGGCCGGATGCGCAAATGGCTGCTGCGGATTGCTGGCCCCCACAAAGTAATGGCCGCCAAAAGTCGCAAACTGCGCTGCGCAACTGTGCGTCTTGGGGGGGTGCACACGTTGCTTTCCTCGGAGTGGCGGGGCTTGGCTTGGCGCTCGAAGGGAAGACGAACGGACGTTGTGTGGATGTCGGCCGTCGCCGCGCGCAGGGTCCCTAAGGCCTGGTCGCGTGACGCAGGGCGCAGGCGGAAAGTGGGCCGGAAGTGGCGTACGGCGGGATACGCGACATCGTACCTCCATGGGCATACGGTGGCGCCGGCGCGCTCTTGGAATGGATGCCGCGCCCGCCACCCACGGGCCCCGTCGTGGCCTGCGGGCGTTTGGCAGCCGCGCTTCCCCGGGGGAGTCCGCGCCGTGGAGCAACCGCGCTGGCACCTTCGAGGCGGGCCGCCGCCGCCGCCAAGTGTGCTGCGAGCATGGGCGCCCCGGGGACGCGAGGTTGTGGCGCGCCCGGCGGGCCAACGCCGCTTGTTTGGGGGGATGCCCCGGGGACTGCGGCTGGCCTGGGCGTTCCCCCGGCGCTGGCGAGCTTTGTGTGAGGGAGGTGAGGAGCGCTGCGCGCGGGCTTGGTGTCCCGCGGCCCTGAGAAGGTGTCCCGTTGTGGATGGTGCCGCCAAGCTGAGGCATCGGCATCGCCGGGATCTGCGCGCCCCTTGCACCCGTCCACTGGGCGGAGCGAGGCCCTTGCGCCCCCCGCCGGGCACTTTACGCCTCGGCGGCATCTTCTGTCTGCGTGAACATGGA